AACTCATGGTCTTTGATTAAAAAAACGAACCTAATATATAGTCATGTTACACAAACTATTGCACATACTTTACAAGAGTTTAATCTAATTAACAAAATATTTAGCGTCTTTTCTTCTCATTGTGTGCTAAACAAAAATATTTTATGGCACCTGCAACTATTAATTTTTTGTTTTCATTAGGGCACAACTTTTGAATATACTTGTTTTTGTGTTATATTAATTATACAATTAGATGCTCATTTATTGGATGATCAATTAGGTAATTTAGGAAGGCAAAATTAGAAATATGGATACATAAATGCAGATTTCAGCAGAATTTCCTAATGTTCTAGAAAACATAAAATTCTCTCCCAAACAAAGGCTAAATATACAGTAACGTGTCTACTACAAATTGCCATTCATCGATCACCAGCTTGAACAATGCACGTAAGTGGGAAAATAGAAAACATGTTAAGGAACTATGATCTATCAAGGAAGGTTAGACGACTATTCAACGTAAGCCATCGACTGATCAAATGATAATACTATCTTATAACAATTCCCATCTCAAATATGAGGAAGGGGTCAACTTATGTTTCCAACTAGTTTCTTATACACAGGGCTTGGCATGAGATTTTTAGATTTGAATCAAATTCTAAAAGTTAACCCTCGAATTGTAGTGTACGAAGTGGACTTCTTCGAACCTTTTGCACAATTTTCTTCATAAAATGATAGTGCATTTAAAAAAATTTTGACCAGACTAGTGCGTAAGAAAGAAATAATTTTTCTTTCAAAATTTAAAATTGAAAATGAAAAAAATTAATTTTGAAAGATTGGTTCGATATCGTTCTGCCACCCTTAGAAAAATTAACTTGTGTATCTCGTGCAAGAAAACTAACGTCCACGAAATTATGTGAAATAACGAAATATATAAAGAGAAAATTACCTGAAACCCTTCTTTTCAAAATTAAAATTCAAAATTAAGCGGAAAAGTTTACATTTCAAAATTCAGGTGATAATTATAATTATTAAAATTTAATTAAACCCATCAAACCCTTCACCCAACCCAACCCAACCCAACCCAACCGTACCCCCAAATTCCCAATTCATCCATCCCCCAAAAATTCTCAATTCATCCATAACCCATTCTTTCTACCCGTCGAAAGACAGCAACAGAGAAAACGGCAGCGGCATTGATCTCCACAGCGATGCTATGCCAATTGTTGCTGTTGGCCTGGGCAAAAAAAGTCGATAAACTACCCAAACAAGTTGCTTCCAAGTTCAATTTCTCAGTCTCGACTCTACAATCTGATCGCTGCTACGCCTAGAATCTCCGCCGCCTCTACGTGTCTAAGAATCATCAGTTTCCATCCTCTGTTGCCTAAG